CTCTGCTGATCCTAGGTCTCCTGTATGTTTGCATCAAACAGCTTCTTTCATGCTGGGAAACAAGATGAATTCTGAAAAAGCTGAAAAACCACTGGAGGTAGAGACCTGGCCTCAATGATTTCAATCTGAAAGGCTGGCAGAGCTAAACACAGTTGGAAACAGGCTTTTGAAAAGAGAAGGTGACCACTGGAGTAGCAGATGCCGCCCGACTGTGAAGGAGGGAGCTGGTGGGTGAAGCTCAGTCCTTCTGTGGATTCTTCACTTCAGTCGTAGCTCTTATTTCAGAGAGATCATGGCTCTGAAAGGCCTGTTGGAAGCAGATGCCTGGCTGCCTAGAAGCCAAATAATAGTGACTAGACAGAGAAAGTAGTAAGAATGGGTTGAGAAAGTCTGTCATATATATAAAGAAGATTTTACAATGATATGCATTCACCAAAGATAAGTTGGTAGAAGACTGAATTGAGAATTCAAACTGAATGGCTGCAGTCATAACATCCTAATGTGACAAACCTTTCCCAAACGCATTTCTTGAAACCATGCAACATCTTTAAGGGCAAAATTTTGCTCTTTGATACTCCATCTTAATTCCTGTTCATGAATCTATACCTAATAACCCTCTGCAGGCTGCTGCTCTCAGGAAAACTGTGGATACATGTGGTAGAAAGAGCTCCATGGTGTCACCCGAGGAGAAAATTTTGCCTTCAGTCCCATCACGCAGCCCAACTGCTTATGCAAGCTTCTGCTGCACTCAAGATGATTTCATTGCTAAATCCACAGTTATGAGCAAAGCAACAGGATAAGATCAGTTGCAATGCATTAATACAGTGCTGTTTTCATCCGTAAAATTACACTGAAAATGGGTTATGAAAGGCAAACCTCAGGTAGTACTGCTACGGTGGCTGTGGCCTAAAGTAGCAGCCTGGGAAGAGCTTTGCAGGTAATTCCTGTGAAAAAGCCACAGAAGATCTGACTTTACATGCTATGAAGGCTGGCTACATTCTCCAACAATCATCTATGAAGGAGGCTTCTCTTCTCTCAGACTGCGACAAACCACAATGTTAGATTTCTTATTAAAAATGTCAGGAACTTGGTGTATTTTCTCACCACTCAGACAGCTGCTGAAACCTCTTCCCTGCTAGAACACTTGATCAAATCTCATGGTAGGAAATTAGTAGGATTTTTAGACAAGCCTTGTTCTGAAAGTGCCATTATGGTCTGATTCTCTGCTCACTTGCACTTTGCCTCTTAAATAACGCAAAGACAAATGCAAAGCAAAGGCTGAGAAGTGAAACACCACAGCAGTGATTTGCCAGCATCCTGTATTTAAAGTGCAAAGATATGAATTAACATATAACAAAAAGTGAATCAGACCCCGTACATCTGTCCATGTCTGTGCTGTTTCTGCTGCTTGGCTTCAGCATGAGTTTTCCACTGTAAGGGTGTCGGGATTTGTCTCCCTTTCTTTCACCCCTGCCTTGGAAGCACATCCACTTGAAGAAGTCAGCCATGAAAATAATTTTAATTCTTCCACTGACAAAATTCATCATCAAAAGGCAAATTGTTCTTGAAACACACCTGTCATTTCAAGGTTTGCCTTCTCAAGTCTACACCAATAATTTCTGTTTAGAATTTTCTTCAAGACAGAGGAAGAAAGGCTGCTCTGCTTCCTTAATATACTGATTTTCTGTGTTCTGAAAGTTAGAGCTTCCTTTATAAGAATACAAGATTCACTACGAAGGTTCTCCAAGTGATTTCAAAGCACAAAAAGAACCCCAAACCCAGCAATCAGAAAAGATGTCCTGTTACAGCAACGCAGAGAATTCTCATAGAATTAAGGGACTGGTTCACTATTCCTTTTTTCACCACTTTAATACCTCAGTGCAGCAAACGCACATACTTTGCTGGGTTGTTATGTGATTACGCCCACAATGAAAACTGAATGGATGCTTTCCTGAGCTGAATGCCCAGCACCAGGAGCTTTTGCTCACAGGACCCTCGCTGACTGCAGCTGGGCCTCCCATGCGCAGTTGGAATGGCAGATGCTGAATGCCACCTAAATATAGGAAACCACCTTTTCAAAGCCTGGCTGAGGAACGCTATTGATGTTTGACCCGTTCTAGGTTTAAATTAGACCTTACCCATTTCTCCCCAGAAGAAAGGGTTGATTCCACCTGTTGTGCAGTTGTACACCAACATGTTTTTTGGTCTGGAAAAGAGAAAGAAAGTATTATTTTAAGAATCATAGAATGTTTTGGGTTGGAAGGGACCTTTGAGAGGTCATCTAGTCCAACCCCCCTGCAGTGAGCAGGGACACCGCTAACTAGATCAGGTTGCTCAGAGCCCCGTCCAACCTGGCCTTGAATGTTTCCAGGAATGGAGCCTCCGCCACCTCTCTGGGCAACTCGTTCCAGTGTTTCACCACCCTCATTGTAAAGAATTTCTTTCTTATATCCAGTCTAAACCTACCCTGTTTTAGTTTAAAACCATTACCCCTTGTCCTGTCACAGCTGGCCCTACTAAAAAGATTTTCCCCATCTTTCCTATAGGCCCCCTTTAGGTACTGAAAGGCTGCAATGAGGTCTCCTCACAGCCTTTTCCAGGCTGAACAAGCCCACCTCCCTCAGCCTGTCCTCATAAGAGAGGTGCTCCAGCCCTCAGATCATTTTAGTAGCCCTCCTCTGGACCTGCTCCAACAGTTCCATGTCCTTCTTGTGCTGAGGGCTCCAGAGCTGGACGCAGTACTCCAGGTGAGGTCTCACCAGAGCAGAGTAGAGGGCCAGAATCACCTCCCTCGACCTGCTGGCCACGCTTCTCCTGATGCAGCCCAGGGTAAGGTTGGCCTTCTGGGCTGCCAGCACGCATTGCTGGCTCATATCCAGCTTTTTATTCATCAGTACCCCCAAGTCCCTCTCGGCAGGGCTGCTCTCAATCCTTTCTTCCCCCAGCCTGTATTGATACCAGGGGTTACCCCAACCCAGGTGCAGGACCTCGCACTTGGCCTTGTTGAACCTCATGAGGTTCACACAGGCCCACCTCTCCAACTTGTCTGGGTCTCTTTGGATGAAATCCCGTCTTTCTGGTGTATCAACCGCACCACTCAGCTCATCTGCAAACTTGCTGACGGTACACTCGATCTCACTGTCTATGTCATATCTTAATGGATATGACTTGTGTTACTTTGAAACTCCATTTGTCAGGGTGGTGATTACAAGTCAATCTATTTCAACAAAATTCTCATTTTAATACCAAATAAAGCTTGGTTGTTATTTGTGTGTAGACCTAAACATAGGTCATACTGTTTTTATTTCTTCCTTTGATACAAGGCAAGAATTAGTCAAATGGCTTTTTTGATCTAAGCCTGCCTTGCCAAGGGTGCAAGTGATGCCATCAATACATTTTTCTTACTCTGCATTAGCACCTGGAGCCATCTGCCAAAATGATAAAAGCAGCAAGATCTGGCCTTGAACGGGGGACAGCAGCTTGGCTGGAGGACACAGCATCTCGGTGCTCCAAGGGCGCCAGTGCTGCTTAGAGCCTTCCTCCACTAGAAGAGGCTGGCTATGAGGAACTTTTCTTTTCAAAACTCGTATGACTGAAGAGACCAGGAGTTAGAACCCCTAAACCTGGGACAGGAAATCTTGCATAGTGATACCTGAAAACTGCATTTGGATACTGCACAGTTTTAACAGTGCTTTTCTAAATAATGCTTTGAAATCATGGCATTTGACTGTATATTATCATTATTACTAAACCCTAGCAGAATTCTAGGGATGGTTACGACTACTAGACACGTATCAAGCTCCAAATCCATGATGTCCTGTAACTCTTAATTACCGAGTAGAAGCCTGATAGAGTGTTAAACAAAAATGCACAGTAGTGCTTAATGTGGGGAAACTCTGCATTATGGAAATCAATATGGCAACTCACTAATGACTAAATCTGTGATATGTGCCCATGTAGAAAACTCACCTAGGGCTGAGACACACACAGAGGCTGTTGCAAAACGCACTGAAGTGAAAGCACAGACTTGCACTTACTCCAGTGGGTCTGGCCCATTAAACACCAATGAAGAGGATTTCTCCATTTTCCCAGCTTTCAGTGAAGAGTCTCTCCCTGTTGATTTTTCTTCCATTCTCCACCCTCCAGCTGAGTCCGTAACCTTAACAGAGCGTAGAACTTTCTACAACTTCTACACTATGTAGTGAAGACTGCAATTCTCTGCTAAGTTTTAGAATCTAATTTCCCTCAGTAATGACACCTGCCCTGAAGGACAGTGATGTTCTAATTAGATGATTTGGAAAAAAAAATTAAACCATAGGTGCCGTTCTTCAAGACAGAACCTAAACCCAAAACTCTCTCAGTGAAATTAAGTTTACAGAAGGCTCAGGCCCCTAGTTTTTTGTTTACAGATTGCTAACCTTGGGGTTGTGCCCAGCTAGACAAAGCTTTAAATCAAGTTCTGCAATTGCTTCTTTAGCCTAATAATTATTTGTGTCAGAAGCAGATTAAAAGCATGCATCTTTCGCCAATGAAAAGTTAGGAAAAAATGGCACTTCTCCTACCATGGCCAGAGCCAGAAAGTCTGTGTTCATCTCCTTTTCCATCTTTATGGAGGTTCTCAGGGTGTGAATGTAAGGGGAAGCTGTATTTATTTTCCCCAGACTGTGTTGTTTTTTCTGTTGCTGATGGAGGGGGGAAAAATGATGAGAGAAATATTTATGAAGAGCTGGAGAGCTGCCTTTTATGATCCCTCTATTTAGGTTACCGTATGCAGCTCTTCTCTACCCTTAGCTCAGAGGGCTTACTCTGCCTTTCAAAGTAAACCATTTCTGCTTTTTATGTGCCTGGTATTGACTTCTTAGAGTTGCATAAACCTCCAGAATAATTCATGTGGTTAACTCCATAGCACCTCCTAATGATTAAAGGTCAGAGCCAGAGGTTCACAGGAAAAGATCTTAAACCCTTAATGTCACTTATACAAACCCTTCTCAACAACGCAAAGAATGGGGTTTTTTTTTTAGATCATCTTTATCATATGAGCCCATAATGTATTTATACTGTGCAGTGCTAATGATTAAAGGTCAGAGCCAGAGGTTCACAGGAAAAGATCTTAAACCCTTAATGTCACTTATACAAACCCTTCTCAACAACGCAAAGAATGGGGTTTTTTTTTTAGATCATCTTCTCTATCATATGAGCCCATAATGTATTTATACTGTGCAGTGTTTTCTAAGGCAAACACGCAGAGCATTTTCAGCAAGAAAACTCTAGAAGCCACTTGAAAAGTGACTTCGTGTAGCTGCCTGAGAACGGAGGCCCAAAAAACAACTGCTCCGAAGGTGCAGCAAAGCTCTTGGACTTCAGAAAAGTGACTTCTGAGAGACACTTGTCAGCTGAGCTTACCTTGTACCGAGAAACAGGTCCCACCTTAGCTTTAGAGATTTCCTAACTCTAAAGCCTGCCTTTATGGCTTCTACTACACCGTTAGTCCTTGCCAGACCAGGGAAGAAAACATGACCCAGAAAATGAATAAACAAGGCTCTTGCACAGGTTTTCAATTAGCTTCTGGTTCCTTTTAAAGCTCTGGTGCGGGCAGTAAATGCCCAAGTCCAGCAGAAAGAGGAGTGGCTTCCCACCTGTGCACAGCAGTGTACCACGCGGCTGCAAGGGTGAGGTTGATGGCGACGTCTACGGGAATCATATCTGCCACCGCTTCGTTGTTGGCAATGACAGTCCGCAGAATCCCTTTGCCTGCCTGTGGGACAAAGGGAAACAGTCACTGATATAAGGCCATGGCACAATTTCATCGGCTTGGACTGAGGACAGACCGTCACGTTAGCGCTTTTCAAGCCTGGCACCTGCTGCAGATTATTTGGTTTCTGTGAAAACAAAGATAGATCTCGCGTGGATCCCACTGTTCTACGTTTTCAGGGGAAGTCTAAAACCTGATGACATCTGTGCTGTGTATAACAAGAAACGCCGTGACTCTCAGTTAACTCAATATGAAATAGATACCTTAAAAAAGAAACATATTTGAATTTACTGCAGTAAAATTCCCTACGATACCTGAAGTTCCATTTTTCTTAAGTGGCACGGGCAGAGAGAGGTCTGAGTGTCCCTCAAAGACAACAGTCACTTTGGAAATTACATCAATAAGCTTTTTGAAAAGTTTACTCCCTTTCCTCTGAATGTGTTCACACCCTCCTGTTTTCCAAAGCCATGTCTGGTAAGCACAAAGATACAGTCAAGATGTGGCCCCTGACTTGAAGAGTTCGCCACCCAACGAAACTCAGGGAATGAATGAGTGAAAATACAAAGTACTGACAACCAAAGAGAAGAGGTAGGCAAGAACAGAAGATTTTCATTTTACATTGGTTGGAAGTACATTTATCAGGGGTCAGGCTCCCCAAAATATATATATTTAACCTGAATGCTTATCAAGGGGTTTCCCTGATGACCAATTAGTCTTTGGAGGTTCCTCAGGAGAGACATGGCTGGAAGAGGCTTACATGAACAGATGGCAACAACATGGGAGCTTAATCAGACAGGATAATTCAGAAATATAGAAATGTGGAGGTGAAGCGGGGTGAAGGAACTTCACCCAGTGTGTCAGGCCTGAAAGCTGAACAGAGCAATTGAAAAAAAGAAATCCCAACAGCAGTCAAGGTAGCAGTCAAGTTATCTACTATGTGGGAAATAAAATGTGATGGATTTGAATTTGAACTAGAAGCTGAGGACCCAGTGAAAAGCACCAGTGAAGCAAGGAAGGAAAAGAGCTTTTATAATTTAGATCTGTAAAACTAGAGGGAAGGACCAAGTGAAGGGGCAAAGGAATATGCTCTACAGATCCAAGAATATGTAAAAGACAGGGCAAGGGAAGTTTTATAGAGAATTTTTCTTTTCTTCCAACCTGAGACTCCCATTTCATCATGAAATACCTCTCCAGCTGTGAAAGATAAAGTTTTACTACAGCACTAGACAGGAGGTGCCTACTTGTGCAAAAACACTTGTCTGAAGTCTGGGGAAGAGAAAGATGTGACCAAAAAAGCATTTAAGAGTCGATACTGACTCGTAAAGTGTATGCCACTGTCTACTGATAACGAGTGGATTTTCAGGGACACCACATTCCCTGTTTGGGAGGTGTTTATCTGGATTCTTTTCTTTTCTTTCTCTCCCCCACTCCTTTCCCCTTCTATACTCAGATGGTTTTGTTACATTTCACAGCTTGCAAGGAAGGGAATACCACTTACGACTGATTTAATTTTCATGAGCAGTCTCATCTCATCCTTGGTGCAGCTGGCAGAGGGATCATAGACAGACAGACAGATGCAGAGGCAACCATGTAAGCTACCCCACCTGACTCCAAATATCCTCAAACCCATGGCATGCAGTTAACCTCTGCTGCCCTAAGCTGAACCACAGCTACGCTTTGACGTTAAAACCTTAACTTGCAACATCACTATCATGTTGGTTTTTTTCTTCCTACTACTGATTTTTCAACGGGGAGAAAAAAAGCAAAAAGGACGAAAGGAGACAGTCAAGCTCAGCTATGAATTTTCCACTGCTGTGAACACATGCCCACGAAAGACCACTGTGCGATCAACTACCACGTTTTCACAGGTACACTGAAAGACCTTTTTGAGGTCAGGCTTCAAAACTGGGAAGTTTGATGGATGTGCTGCAAACATGCCTGTATTCAGAGCAGCTTGTGATGGTCATATGCACATGAATGAATCAGATATTTAATATAGCGTGCATTTAATAGAGACTTGAGGTTTAAGTGTTTTAAGTTACTTTTTACATTGGAAATGGTTTGGTACTTCTTTATCAGGTATGGCTTGATTTCTGTTTGTAGTTGCTGACATGTTTTTGTTCTCCTTAGTGAAACAGAAGCTACTTTAGCTGAAGCCTCCAAAACCATTTGGTGGTCACAGTCACGTTTCTGGGCAGCCTCCCAGCTGAAGCACTTTGGGGCCAGTCACTGTCCAGAACATGAATTAAACCATGGTTCTGCCCTACAGCTTCACTGCCTTGCAGGGAGGAAGGTCTTTACATGAAATATGGAACAGCAAGATAAAATGCCTCAATTACAGTCCAGTGGAAATGTAATTAATTTAATTTTGTTTTTCAATCAACAAAGCTTCTCCCCACGGCAGCTGGAGCAACTGTAGGTGAAAGAAACATAATTAGACTATCAAGAACAACTTGAACTCCCATATTTCATGAATATTTAAAAGAAATATATCTATTTGCAGAATTAAATGATCAGACTCAAATATTATAGTGATGACTGAAGGGAAAAAACAAAAAGTCTTTGCAAGGTTTAGAGTTTGGATTCTGCCCAGATGATCCCAAAGATCCCAAAGATCATCTGAGCCAAATCTGAATCTGAGGGTTGTGCTCCATATAGGATGAGCTTGGGTTATAAGTTGAAAATGAATATTTTAGTATGGAGGGGACTTTAAAAAAAAAAAAAAAAAAAAAAAAATCACCAAAACACTTCCCTTTTGCTTTTTCCATCCTTAATTAAGGCTAATAAAGCTACCTGACCAATAAATACACTTTGAAATACAGCTGGCAGAGACAGACAATTGTAATCACATAATTTCCAGGTAATCAAACTCACACGTAACTCACATATTCAAGGGTTAATTTTCAAACTACCAAACAGGATTTACCAATTCACCATATCCACGCACATTAATTCAAAACATGTATTTATTTCTTGCCCCGCTCCCCCCCCCCCCGAACAACAAAAGTCTCTGGGGCTCCCTAATAATAAATACCTTTCACATCCAGAAAACTAGTACCAGTCCAACTAAGTTCAGCAGCAACTGGAGATGGTACGAGACAAATACTGTCTGTCAGCACTGGCGATCCTCCCTCACTTCTCCGCATCACAGAGTCTCTGCTCCTGACTGACGTCAGCCAGCACTGCTGCCTGTGGGGCCAAAGAGCCATTGGGCACAGACAACCACCTTGTCTCTACACCCTGCACCTATTGTTGTTGCTCTTTGTCTTTTTCTTGGCTACGTCTTGGTATAGTTGCGTATCACACCATCATATTTCATCGCTGAAGAGCTCAGAGCAGATGATATGAATTTCATTGTCTCTGTATTTCCTATATTGAAGAACCTCAGAGCTTCAATCCTGAACCAAGAAATACCATCTCTATTTCAAAACTATTTTGGTACAATTCAAACCTTTTGTATAAAAGGGAGGTTATTTACTACAGTGACCCTAGAATCTCAAAATCTTTACTTTCCATAGAGTTAATCTGGAGATAAAGATACAGGCTGGTGTCTGTGTGTGAAAACCGGCGTAAGTGAAACCATGCCATTAGGTTTGCTGTTGTATTCCATAAGGCTAGAAATTTTTGCTTTGAAGAAGGAAAATATTCGTTACTGGTATGAGTGGTGAAAGATAAGCATAGAAAATATATGCAAGTCTCATGTAAGTTCCTAAAGCAGACACTATTAATGAAAGACTGATAGATGGGCAAAATTTCCAAATACTTAACCATTTACTTGTTGACAGATTAAAAGAGAAGAAAACCGAAGGAGAAAAATGCTTTTTAAATGACAAATGATTTGATGGGCATGTTTTATATGGCTGGAAGCATATGAATTTGGCGTGTTTCATAAAGTACTGGGATATGATACAGGTATGACAGCAACTTGCTGTAATTTGTTACTTAGGTAATTCACTTGTGGGGAATAAAGAGCAATGCAATGGAAATCTTTTGGGTAATGTCTTTCTTGCAAACTAACTCTGGACAAATTTTTGTGACAGACATTTTTAATGCTCAAAAGTAAACACAAAAAGATCAAAACTCACGGATATCATTACAAAAGTTAGAACCTGTCACATGAAAATGTAAGGAATGTATCTGCAAAATTAAGGAACTGCAAACCCTTTCTTTATCATGATAATGACAAGAGGTCATACAAGAACACAGAAAACGGCACAAGATGCTGTGAGTAGAGCAGAGAGAGGCAGTACAAGCTTTATGAGCAGCCAGCAACGAGTAGAAGGTTGATGAGTAGAAGGTTGACAGAAACTGTGAGATGAATAGGAGCTAATAACACTTTGTGAACATAAATGATGCATTTAGGGGCTTCTGAATGTCTCTGAAATGTGTAACTGGGGTTTCCCGATAAAAGCATTAGCTGGGATATACCCACTAATTTCACTAGTCCTCTGGGCTCCATAAATGACTGTAACAGTTTCTATTTATGCTCTACTTCAGGTACAAATGAGCTTTTTTAACAAGATGATTTTTGGATTTTATTCTGCTCTCCTATGATTGTAGACTACTAATCCTTTTATACAATGCATCAGGCTGATTACAATATTTTTTTTACAAAGTAATCAAGTTGGACAAATCATACAGGAACAAAAATATCTGCCCATAGCTATGCAGCATTATTCATTGACAAACAGACCTAAGGCAGTGATTTTAGTTCAGAAAAAAAGTATAAGCTAGGAGAAACGGTATGCAACTTTACTGTTTTCATATGTTAAGTTGTAATGATTTTTTTCATATTACAGGGAATATTTTATCAAGTTATTTCTTATTTATCTCAGGGGTTTGTTCCTTGCCATTTTGCACACTAGTTATTTACAGCAGTGTTAGTCAAGAATATAGTGAATTATCCATGTGACTGGCAGAGTGTGAATCTATAGTTACACACATTATTTAGATGTACTCTGCACATGGAGAATTCCTGTACAAAGCAATGGCAAATGAGACCCAGAGAAACAATACATATGAAGGTAAATGAAAGTCTAAGTAATGCTGCCTTGCAACAGTAATCCAGCCTGTAAAATTAAGTTCTGTTATAAGATTAAAGCTTTGACATCTGTGAATCACCCCTAGTTTCAAGGATGCATCTTTTGCCCTTTCTTTGAAAATTTGGCCAAATTTGGCCAAAGCTAAAAACTGCAATTCACATTTAGTGAATCAGCGACATGAGTACTCTTTCGATGTCCTTTTTGGAGCGCAGCGTAAATAGACAGCTTTCTGGGTGCTACAGGCATACAGACGTATGGCAAGTGCGTGACACCTTTCTACCAGATTCAGAAAATTGCTATGATCCTTTTTAGCACCTGATTTCTAAGTGGGGCTTTAAGAGTAACTTCGGAGTTGCTATTTTAGTAACTCTAACTCCACTTTAAGGGGAGCTTAAATAGTAACTAGACATACCGCAACAAATATTCCACTTGTCCCGTTGAAGCTGTCAATCCAACCCTGCAAAAAAAAAAAAAATAAGAGAAGAATGATTACTTTCTTTCAGTGACATGTTGCTTACACAGGCTTCGAAATGGCGAAAGGGCTACAACGCTGCGGTGCAGGACAAAGAAGCAACAAGGCAAGGGTTAAGATGCCTGCCTGTGGGGGACAGCTGCCAGCAAGCTAACCAGTACAAAGTACCTAACGGATTTTATATAGGGGATGCATTGTGTGTTACCTCATACTGTCTGCAATTTCCCCACCAACAACAGAAACAAATTTTGTTTTTAGAAACCACGTCTTTCCTATAATAACTTGGCTGCAAGAGTAAACTCTGTCTTGAAACACTACAGCATCTTGGTGCCGTCACACTTGCTGAAAGCAGCCTGCGTGTTATATACTCTCCGACGTACAAGATGCAGATGTCACTGAGACTGATCTGATCACTCCAACTAATTTCTAAGGTAAGGAAGAAGAAAATACCGCTCCACTTTTGAATCCCATCCTACTTCAGCTCAGGGAAACCACCACTTGTGGGAGCTGGAGTGCAGAGCAGTGACGAACTGTCTGACCCGAAATGGGTTATGACACCTAACAGCACTCTCCCTGTCTTACCAAGATGGGGAACTTGGCCCAGAGCCTCAGCTATATCTCAGACATCTTTGGCACGCTTCGAGCTGCATGAAAGCCAAAGGTGACTTTTATGTTGCCTTTCCAATTTGGCTGCAATGTTAAGGTGCGTTATCCCTACTAGTATATTTAGCTTAGTGAATTATTTCAGTCCAAAAGTACAGCTGCATTTAATTACTGTGCAGCTGACATTTGTACCTGCGACAGGCCCATACAAGTGTGAATCCAGTGAATCCAACGACTAATAATGCAGGACAAAGATACAAAGTAACTTGTATACAAGGCACATGACATTATGAAATGCTTTCAAGGGCCATGTGAGGTCTAGGGTGCTCATCAGGACCTCACTAACAGGCTGACAAGACCATGGAAAGACTTGAACCAGAACACATCAGGGCTGTGACCGACCCTCAGATCTTGTGTTTCCCCAGCTAGTACAGAAAACTCCCGTGGGTGTCTGTCTGGGCATGATCCTCTGCCTTTAAGGCTGTCAGTTGCAAGTCCAGCATTTTGTACTGTTATTATCATCCCAGCTCTTCTTATTATTGCTTAAATGTGTTCTTTTCACTTGCAGGCAAGAGTCTTCCCTGAAGATGCTGAAGAAGGCTTGCTACTCCAGCAGGGTCCTCCACCTCTTCCATGCACTTCCCCATGAACTGTGTCACCTGTTTCTCAAGCAGACACCGCTACAAGGAGGGACAGATTGCTGACAGTACTGCACCTACAGCTGTACCAAAGGGCTCTCAGTAGGGAATTGCTATGTGTTCATGCTTACTGGGAAAGGCTCATGCCAGCTAGCTCCCACGATGGATGGCCTGATGATAGCAATGTTCAGGTTTCCTTTCTCTTGCTGTATCAGGTATTCTGACAAGGCTTTGGTGTAGGTGTAAGTGTTGGGCCAGTCCCCAAGCAGCTTGGGTGTGATGTCTTGAATGATAGATTCATCCAACCACCTACAGGAAACAAGGAGAACGTCATTTTCTGCCATGCAGAGAGAGAAAAGATGGATACAAAAGAAGACCAGTGAGACAGGAATTCTCAGCTGAAACAAAGGATAAGCAAGTCAAAGACATTTAAGACAAAGCAAGGAGCAACTGGTTTGGATTTAGAACAGCTCTCTGGGACAAACCTTACTTTTGTTTTCCAAGTGCAAAATAACCATGGTGAGCTTCATGCTATGATGTCCAGCTCAACTTTAGGTATCTATACAATCTCAATCTAAAGCAATCTCTTGTCTGCTTTACGCTTCAGTGCAATCTGTAAGGTAGATATGGCCATGGTCTACAGACCAATGGAGCTTTCCAACCTAGCACTCTCACTAGGTAGTGCTTGTCCTTAGCCAACACAGTCCCTATATATTCCCAAGTACATTTTAGGAGATTCTTGGTAACCTTGAGTTACTGAGTTGAGTAGCATTACAAAGGTCTCAAGAGCTAGAACAATGTACTACAGAGATATTATTCCAGTAGCACAATTTACAATGTTAGATGCTCCTCCCTACTGGTTTTCCACTAGTTTGTTCACATAGGATATTAAGAAACTGTCTGTATTAGCTGCTTTAAAAAAAAAACTAAAACAACAAGTTGGTGGTGGGGGTGGGTTTTTTTGTTTTTTCTTTTTAAGGTATTCAAGTATCTAATCTGCCAGAGGTAGTTACATATACTCTTAAAAAAGTGGCCCTTGCCACTGTGGTGCTGCAGCGAGGGCCTAAGGCTCAAAGGCTCTTCCCTGGCAAACCATCAAGGCATCACTGGTCCTGCCAGCATTTGGGTCTAAAGGACAGGAACTGGCTGTACTTCCAGAGCCCTTGCACACCGCTGCCAATCCCCAACAGGCTTTCAGCAGTCTGGTGTTACACCACGGAATCAAAGATTAACTCCTATAATCCAATTTGTAATTAAGTCAATGGACTTACAGTTCAGACTGAAAGGGCGTGCTCTTCCCAGGGGCACTGCAAGGATACTGTTTCCTGCAGATCCTTGCTTCACCCCTCCTTATCTTTAATTTCAGAAACCAGTGGAGGTCAAGGGGAGGGGAATAAGGTGGAGACTGTCACAGGGATAAGGTGGAGACTGTCATACCTTAAGAGCTGATCATATCACCTTAAACATGCAAACACCTGATGGCTCAGGTGGCACACTGTGTTTCAGATGGCTCTCATCGGACACAGATGGAAATAGTAGAGGAAAACTGTTGTATGAGAAAACACGGATTCACTGAAAGTGCAAAACAGTTTGCAGGGGAGGGTTGAATTTAGTGAATCAGTTTTGGAATGAGTTAAAAAGAATCTGACAGGTTTTAGTATATAGAAATTGTTGGGTTTTTTTAAATAAGCCTTATGGAGGCACAAATACTTTCCTTTGCAACCCTAGCCCCATGCTTCAGAAACAAGACAGAAAATATGAACTTGAACTGCACAGAGCCTATAAGCAGCACACAATATTGACTTAATTTACAGCGCCTGTTTAGGCAGCCATTGAACCCAGCCTCCTCAGGGTCTCAGATAAATCGCCGTTGTTTGAATCTGCTGAGTAATTAATTACCAGCCTACCAAAGGGAGATGTCTATTTTTGCAGGGCCTGGAGGAAGACTAGGTTCGTTTGGGAACTCAGATTAAGCTGAATGCAAGTATCTTTCCTCTCCTCCTCTCTTTTTTAAATTTTTTTATATATATATAATTTTTTTAATAATAGGAGCTTACAGGTTAGCGTTTCTCACAAAGCAAAGACAGGTGTAGAAGTACAAGGAGAAGCAATTTCCCTTGGCTCTCAGCCTTCCAGACAGGCCTCTCTGTGTTACTTTAAGTGGTCATCAAGAGGACCATGCTCCTGCCTGTCTCAAGGGTACCATCCTACCAGGTGATTTGATCTACCAGCATTACCATCAGAGAAGCACTGAGCTGACAGTTCAGCGAGGCGAACTGTTCCTGCTCCTCTGTGACCTACTTTAGAGGTTTTGAAATGCTAAATCACAAAGCTACTGCATTTGCTCACTGCTGCAACTGACCTGTAGAAACAAGAGATGCAAATTAAACAATTAGTAACCTCCTCTTCCACTGCATACATGCACCAAATTACTCTGCCATAGGAAAACATAGCTCTCTGTGTTAATCACTTTGCATTAATAAGACCTCGTAAGTGATGACAGGTCTACGTTTTCTGCAATAACGCAAGCAGTTCTGCTTCAGCTCACACTTCACTGTGTGCCGTGTTCCTTACCTCAGCACACCCTTCAAAGCTGATTTCCCTCAGCTTTAGATTAAGATTGCAGACCTTGCTTGATGTGGCAGATTACGTTTCCTCTATTGGCCTGGCAGCACTTAGAAGCGTGACTTTTGGTTTACACAGATTAGGCCTAAGGCTTTACTTGCAGGTTAAGTATCAAAATACTGGAAAGCAGGGATATAATAGGAGCATAAGAACAGAAAAAGAAACAGCTGGGATTCCTACTTGGGATTTCAGCTGAATAAAGCATATATGAACCGCATGGCCAAAAGCATCATTAAGTGGTTCTGTTATTGCATCCAGTTGTGTGATTATGCCTCTTAATGTACTTGCAGAAGAGCACTTTAAGACAAGGGTTGCTTATATTTCCTTGTCTCCTTTTTTCCCTCCTCCACCTTTTTGAAGGTAACATTCTGATATCCGTTAACCTAATTTCTCTGAAATCTTCTGCACCCAGATATCTCTATATTATTTCTTCCACTTACATGGTAAATAATAAAAGGTACATCTCTCCCATCTCCTTCCAGCCCTGCTTTGTCTTCTCTCTCTCCCTAACTAATCCTCTTCACAGTCTCTCAGTTTTCTCTGTCCCTTTCTGCCTGTATCATATCACCCCAACTTCACAAGGACTTTCCCCATCCTGCTCCTCCACACTCTCTGCAGCCCCATGCATGTCCTTCATGTATTGCCTTTGATTTGCAGAACGCCTTCCAAACCAATGACAGTGATTTTCAACAAGGCCCACCTGATTTCAATGCCTTTGAAGGCAGAGGTTGTCTTTGTTGTGAGTGATTATAACGCTACCTGCAAACACTGTAAAGAAACAGATGCCATCCTAGCTGAGGGCATGCTGTGACTTCTGTCTCACTAAAAGTACCAGAAGGTTGTGAACTCCTGGAGTACGGGGCATAGGAAAAACTGTAGAACAAATTCAAAAATCTAGTAAAAAAACCCAAACCTTCTCTAATTAGGTGACTAAGAAAAAACAACCAAACATAAAACCAAGATAAACATATCAAAGAACAGATCTGAAAGCCCATCCTCTGTCTCTCAACCCTTCTTTCAAACATCATCCTCTCTGCCGCACGTGCAAACTACAATAAATAAATTCTTAGTGTCTGATATGAAGAAGCTGAACTAGCCACCTCTGGGGTAGCCAGGCACTTCTGCATGTTTCTGATTAGCATTCGGTCCTTTGCTGGAGTCTTTTTTATCTGAGCCATCAACACTAATTGTTTCCAAAGTTGCAAATTATGGTAAGCTTTTTGGGGCAGTAAAATGTAATATTGACAGCAATGAACTCCAAAAGACATTGCAAAACTGAGTCAGTGGGCAAAAAGGTAGCAGATTGGCTTCACTAAAGGTAAGGTAATGTATCTAGGGAAAAGCAGTCTAAACTGGTCTTAGAGGTTGCTGAACTCTGAACTGGAAGTTGCAGCTCAGCAAGAGCTCTTGGAAGCACAGCTGACAGCTCTATGAAATTTCCAAGGCAATGACTAGCAGCAGACAAAAAAGTCAACGAAATGTTGGACATCATCAGGTACTGAGAAACAAGACCAATGGTGTAATTTTGAAGCTATTTAAATAAAACTTGAGTACTGCATACAGTTTGGTTTGGCCCCTGCACCTCAGGGAGGGAGTGGAGTTAAAAAAAGGCAGAGAGGAAGGGCAACTAAAATCATTAAGAAGAGAGATCAGTTGGCGTATGAGGAGGCAGTAAAAACACTGGGACTCTTCAGGCTGCAGAAGACAGGGTCCAGGGTGAATGCAATACAGATTTACAGAACTGCAGAGGCAGTGAATAGAGCAAACACTGCAAGGCTGCAAATACAGGACATGCAATAAAACTATTAGCATGAAAGCTCAAAACAGGTAAAAGAAAGCTCATCTTTGCACAGCAGTTAGTTAGTAGACTTCTGGAACTTGCTGCCACAGGGGGTTGCAAAGGCAGAGTACCAGAAAGTTGCAGAAGGGATTAAACAAATTAATGGATTCAAAAAGGGGTCAAAAAAATAATAGGAGTATATATACAGTTCTGGTTTCTGGGAGGCTACAAGGGGAATGGATTGCAAAAAGTATCCAGGCTTGCATAGTTACCCTGAACAGCATCTCCCAGTGCCACTGTTGAGGGCAAGATATTGGGCCAGGCAGCCCATTGCTCTAATGCACTAGGGCATTTCTTATGTTTTTATCATGCTCCTCTTGCTGAATAAATGTTAAATAACAGATGACTACTAGCTGGAAATAAAGGTATCCAAGAATATGGGCTACTGGAAAAATTAAAAAAAAAAAGAAAACACTGATTTGTACTAAATTTTCTGGAGTAGTGCCTAGTCAAATTATTTTTTTTGGCAAACAATTTTTTGTCATAAAATCTCAGTGGTTCCCCTGCTGGACATTAATTAATCTCATCTCCCATCACCTTAAATCAAGGAGAAGAAAGATTTTATACCAGCTCTTTGAGTTTCTAGTTCACAGGTCAGTGCTTACATCACACAAGTGGAATATCACTAGAAAATAAATGAAAATAAAGTTACAGCTGTGGGAAAATTCTTCTACGGGGAAGGTGTCCTGGGGCCTTTATCAGAAGATTTTGTTAATCTTTCTAATTATTCTTCATTTCAGGAAATTCAGTTAAACAAGCCTTTTTGTTGTTCCCTCAAAGTCCTGGATTCTCACACTGAACTCTTTCTAAACCAGGCTGTTTCTGACTCATCCCCATATAACTCTGGTTTAATACCACAGGATTGTTGAAATAAGTGGAAACAACGTTGGGAAGCTGAAGAGATAAAGGAATTAATATAAGCTATGCGAAAAATTTCAGTTCTTACTAAGGTAGCAACAGAGCTGAGTCTTAAGAGAAAGAAGCATCACAGCTCCATTTCTGACAGCAAATGCACTTGTGCAGAACTCATTCAGTGCTGGTCTCTCATGAAATCACATGGTCTTTTTTAAAATGGTGCGTGGAAAAATTTAGAGGTAGGTGAAATCTCAGGGTTATTACGTGTGGTTTATGCTATTTTCTAATACTTTTGAATTTGGAAAAGTATTGTTAAGCTTAACCGAATATTTTTAAAGCGTGAGTTCAGCAGCTCTCCAGATAAAAAGGCTCCAAACCAGAGTCTCTATTTCTCCTATTTTCAAAAAACGTCCGTAGAGCTAGTTTCAAGAGAAAATCCAGAAAGGACAGAGTTACTGGATGGCACTCTGCAGAAAGTACCCCTCAAAACCACCTAGAATGAAAGCTCTCTCTTCCCTTGGTCTCACTCTTACTACGGCCAGCATTTCTTGCTGGCACGGTGCATACAGACAAGGCCATACAGCATAACAGCAGCTATGAACAGAAATCCCACAGGACAGGTTATATGACCAATTCAGAAGTCTTCTGCAGAATGAAGCAAAACCAACGTCAGAAGAGGCGAGGCAGGTCCTACTTACTCTACTAAATCGAAGAGCTTCTTGGGTTCAGCTGGGGGCGGGTAGATGACTTCGTCTATGCATTTCCGGACACAGTTTGCATAGGCGGTGGAGATGTGGATGAAGGCCTCGAGGTTCTGCATCTGCCGGGCCAGCTCTAGGAGCCGCTGTGTGCCCATTACATTCAGTTGCAGGGCATGTCTAAAGAGGGCAGGTGAAGGAAACAAAATGCATCTCACTGGAAAGAATATACCAAAGCTGAGCATTATCCAAACACCAAATAATGAAAACACAAGCAAGGGGTCGCAGCAGTGGAAAGCTTCAATGAAATGTAAGGGCTAAACTAGCTTTCAAAGCAATGCTGTTGGATTCGCTGTTCTGGCCACAGAATGTCTCTCAAATATTTTTACTCAATTCAAAGGATCAGAGGTAACATTTCACTAACATCTCTACACGCGACACTTTTGCCACCCCTTCCTGGAACAAATATTTCCAACACACATGACCACTGAGGCATTATGGTTCCTACGGTACCCACTCAACTTTCTCCTTAAGGGACCACTGCTAAAACAGATAAATGCATGGTTCCAGTAAGCAGCAAAGGGTCCCTGGGCCCAGAAAAACAGATTCGTACTGAAGAAGACATAATTAGAGATAACAGCTTAAATTCCCAAGGAATGGAGATGAGAACTGGTAAGCATAAGAGAAAAAGAGTCCTGGTTAGCAAGGTTGACCTTGAAGCACCCAGCACAGCTAGAAGTTGTCCTAGTGACTATCTGCAATGGATCTCAGTGAACAGATGCTCAACTTTGTTGCCCGCTTTGTACTGGGAGAAAGACACTTTCCTGCACAGAAGGGAAAAGCCTAAGGAATATGCAATCTGTTCAGCCCAGGAGTGGAAGCTTTCAACAACACGTACAAGGTTATGAACAACGCTATCAACTACAGTGTACACTAAAGAAATTAATTACAGTAACGTTGAAGAGAAATTTTAAGTAGTCCAGATGAATGAAAACAGAAGCTAAGACTATGATTAATGTTTGGATCATGACATCTAAAGTTAGAGATACTTATTTTTTTTTAAGCATGCTGCTATTAAATAGCATTTTCTATAGACTTCTATTTCCTCCTGCCCTTCTAGCACGATGAATGCATCTACTTTAGCTACCCTTCATATGAAAGTTACTCCTTCGTGTACACTTCTATTTGATTGTATCCATTCTGAGAGGGGGTGATCAGAATTGCATTCAGAACACGGGCCCATCACTGATTTCTGCTGAGATGTTCAGAGTCCCTTTAGCCTTATAGGGGAATATCATCTAACCCTGGTGATTTGTTACTCTTTATTTTTTTCTGTTTATATTAAAACTGCATCTACTAATATTTCAATATAACACAGTTTCTCAGATTTCTGCCCTCAAGAGTTCCAGCTGGAGAATTCCCTAAATGTACTGCTTGTCGATGCCAATAATTCATTTAGTTTCTCTGTTGCTGCTTTTCTAGCATCTTGATAGCACTGCTTTTGCACCTCCCTTATCTATCAAGCTCTACATATTCTGTGGTAGGCCTTGCACTTCTGCCATGTTTAAAAAATATTTTTTTTTTGCATCATTAGCAAGTTGCTGCTCAAAATTCTTATTTGAGCAATACTGTGCTTTCACATTTAACTTGCTAGAACTGTTACCCATATGATGTATTTTATTATTCAGACAGGAGTAATTTGATTTCAACAACTTCTTATATTTTGCTGCTTAATCATATTGGATTTTCCTTGTTCTGTTAGAGAGATTTTGACAGATCACATGCAATCAGCCTTTAAATAGTTTCTACTGCCTGCAAGCAGATGACCATTTTAACTTTTTCTTTTAACTTCTTTCTAGCTATCCTCCTTATTAAAAATGTAGTTTCTCTTTGAAGTTAAATGTCACTGAGATGTATTTTCATAGCGTGTTCATTCGTGTATTGATTTAAGAACATTTATGGCTATTAATGCAGTGCAGTGCTTTGCTACTTTTATCTTGAGCCAGGTTCTACATATGGCTCAAGATTAAATCAAGAGCTGCTTCCTTTCTGGTGGGTTCTCTCATCAGTTGCAAAAAGCAATTATTTATGGTGGACACAGTGGAGATCTACTTAGCCTATGTAGAAGTAAATGAAGACTGACATTAATAATTGTGTTTTCTACTCTCACAGCTTTAACATTTTTCAAAAAACTGCGAGGATCTGGCAATCCAGATCATCTACATTGGTTTGTTGAACTTTACAAGTTGCACAGAAGGACTTATACATCCAGTCGTGGTTTAGTGTCTTATTTCTGCTGCTCTTTCTTAACGGAAAGCCTGCCTGGACAGGCACTCCCAAGGGACCTCCTTCAGAAATCGAGCATTTATTCTAAACAGTTAATTGCACCAGGTCTTGGGTATTTGTGATGATTGATAGGTGATCTTCTTGAACAACATATCGTTTCCCTCTTCAGTTACTCAGTGACAAAGAAAGGCCATTAACACTAGGTTTCGAGACAGACACAACATAGTTTCACTTCAAGCTGTCTCCAGCTAGTTCTGCCAAAACATCTCCCTCTTGACCTAAAACACACTTTTCCCTATCCCAATTTTAGGTCATGCTTTACTCCCTTACTATATCACAACCCAAGCTTGCAGTACTTCCTTCTGTTCCCATGGAAATCTGCCAAGATACTTCACTTTTGACGTGCATATGCACATGACATCTTCAGAGCATTTACATTGCACATTCACTGCAAAGCCACATGTAGCATGAAAACATAAGTGGAGAATTGTTACCGCAACTATACAGGAGATGCACTGAATGGCGTGCTATGGGCTACCGTGCATTCTGAATCATGCTTAAGCAAATACAGAAAGCAGGACATACTTCAGGGGTTCATCAAAGCGAACTGTTGCTGCACAGTGGAAGACAATATTGACCCGGGTCAGAAGCTCTTCCTCATCTTCAGCACTGATGGCCAGCTTGGGCTGAGTGAGTTCAGCATTAATAGGCTTAATCTTCTCGTGGAAATTAGGGCAATCTTCTCGGACCCTGTCAAAGACCTTGAAGCACAAACAGAGAGAGATCAGGTACAGAATTAGGCTACTGAGATCACTTTGATTAGTAGCCAGTCTGATTACACCAATCAATGAAATTGACACAAAAGAGAATGCCCGGTTCTTTCAGAGGGAGGTGGTAGAACAGTTAATTCACTTGTTCCCTTCCCATGGGAAAGGAACAGAACAAAAAATATAGGAGGTTATGCATTGCCCTGAAAAGATGAACGAATCTTCTCTGCACCACTCATTTCCTGGGACAGCCACTGAAATTCCTGTAGCTCCACATCTCCTGCAACCACTTGCTATTTGACCTCAAAGGCTGCCTGTAGGACCATAACAGGAGCTAAACAGGAGGAGGGCAGAGTGGGAAAGCCTGTGAAGCATTAGACTCAAGCAATTTTCCTGATGCTTTTACAAAGGACTTGAGGAGTGGAGGGGAGCAGGGCACATTCTGGCTCCTCCTCTTCCTTTGCTGCTCCTTGCCAACTGCCACTCTCTGTTCGTGTGGGATGCGTCCTGTGAGGATGGAAAGATGGGGAGCCTCAATAACCCATACTGCTAAGCCTGCTGACTGCCACCAGCACTTTTGCATGATGGGACAAGTGTGCAGCTTGTTGGCCTCTCAAGCTGTCTTCCAGCCCTTTTCCATCCATAGCTCTTTCCAATACTCATTTTCTGCCCAGTCTTCTGCAGAATGACAAGACTGTGCATCTGTCCACTAAGAAGATCCCTACATTTCCACATGCATTCTCTCTGATGGCTTGTCCAAAACCAGCATTTGGCACCCTGCTTTGCCTAAGATCCAAGATAGCAGGTGCCCTGAACAGCAAGATGACCATGCACAATCCTTCTGAAAGGAGAAGGAAATCAATACTGTCACCACCTGAAAAGTGTCTATGTAAAACCAGCAGTTTCCTCAGTTCCCATTTTTACTCTGTGAGTAGCTTGGAGTCACTGATAACAGTATAGCAGGTCTGGGTGCAGTTGTGCTTGTGCTGTGAAAGCAGACAGCTACTGCAGGTTCCACCTGGAGACCTTTTATTTGATAAATCAAATGAAGATGAAGCCCGAACTTCAAAATGCTCTGTGAGTTTGCTGGAGTAAGATTTGAAAAAACACCTTGAGTTACAGAAGTGTCTGCTCTAAGGGTTTTGTATTGCTGGCCAGCATTACTGTGTTTGAGCAACTTCAACTGAAATAACAGCACCAGCGAAGTCCAAAAAGCTGCTCCCTTTTGGGAGCAGAGTGACAAGAAGAAGGGTAGAAAGAATAAATGGGATAGAGAGGCTGCGGGATCTGAAGAGGCATAATCTAGATTTCCAAGGATAACCATGCTTCGAAGGTAACTAGCCTACTGACAGGAATGACTGAGTTCTGGGAAGGGCTGCTGGTAGAAGCCATCTGCCATGGCCTAAGAAGGGCCCAGACAAGCACTGCCAGGAGAGGCGGGGAATTGCTGAACCTGCCTCGGGGCAGGTGGACGGGCCAGCTGGCTTCTCAGTAGCTCTGTGTTTTTCGATTGTTTCCTCTACTCTCTTACTTTACCAGTAACGCTGAGTTTGTAAATCTCCTTACTGTCATGGTCTCTCGTTTCCCTAGAGGTTGCTCTGTCTTTGACTTGCCCAGTGCTTACGTAAGAGCAGGAATCATGTAACATAAATTAAACATACTAAAAGACATATGAAAGATTAAATTGGTGCTAATAGCAACAGTTTCTTGTTTGACTAAGGGGTTACCATCTTTCTACTTATCTGACAACCAAATCTAGATAACCTTGATGTTCTTAGGGATAAAGAAGTGATTAGAAAATCATCAGCCTTCCCCACTATGCAGCACACTGTGTACTTGACTTCATGCATTTCTCTTTAACACAGAGCTGCACATCCTGCATAAATCTGAAATTTGAGCAAGTTAACAAAAGTTATGACATGAATATGTCATTTAATTTCTCTCAGTTGTACCCAACTACATTTCAGCAATGTAGTCTAGGCCAGAGAATAGATTTCTAGACAGAGAAAGCTAATCATGGACAAAGATGTTGGTGAGAGCCAGCTGGGCTGTGGGAACTCAATTCCCAACAATTTATGTTTAGCACCGGGTACTAGCAGCATTAATGTCTGTAAAAAGCTTGTCTTCTAACAAGAGGACGCTGGAGTGGCCATCCAAATATGCATCATCTCATGAAAGACAGCACATGAACAAACCCTGATGAGACACACAAAATGGAAAGATTTCTCAGAGAACCCATGTAAGAGCAAGCTATATTTTTAAGAGTTTTAGGAGCAATTCTGCATTTGTTTGTTCTATTGCAAAGAGAGTGTAAAACTCCACCCAATGAGCATTATTTTATACTTGTTTTACTTTGGCATAAATAATGCAAAGGCATAGAAAGAATGAATCAGCCCTTTCTCCATTTCAGTCACAGTATATGAAAAGAAGAATAGTTTTTCTGCAGTGTCAGCCTTGATCGAATTTGGACAGTTATATTCTGCCTATGTGCCATCTCCTCCTGACATTCCCACTGCAGATAATATCCCCTTCAATATTTCTTTGCCTGCTGCTAGGTATTGCCTACTACTGCATGCCACTCAACAGCTGTAGTTTTTCACCCCCTCTAATGATTCACTGCGTTTCTCTGAAGGATGAAGGCGATTTCTAAATGCAAGCTCACAAATCAGCATACTGCTTTGGAAACCTTCTGGATCACAAGAACATTCAGTTCATCATTGCCATTAAATCAGATAACAGGAGCAGCTGTTTAATCAAAATCTGCTGCCTCTTTTATGGCATCTGAAGATTTCAGACTTCTCAGTGCTTTACAGCAAAGTGCAAGAAGATTTAAAAACAAAACAAATGCAGCTTATTCTATACTGTTTCCTACAGCTCCAGGAGTGTTTAACATAAAAGGTGATGAGTAGTCTGCAGGTAAACAATAATCGCATCTCTAAATGCTGATTAACTCACCCAGAGCATATATAATAAATCCCCAATAACTGCATGAGGCCTAAGGATTGTTTGATCTTTTCTTTTTAGAAGCTGTCTGCCAACACAAAATATATTCAAGGGATAGAAGTAGGCTGGTGTGCCGCACGGTTGGAACCGCATGAAAACACTGGCCAGGTCAGCAGTAATCCCAAAGTGATAAATGAATTGCCACAGAACTACAGTGAAGGGCAAGGAAAGATGCTCGATTTCAAGTTGTCCAATATTAATTAAACTGAGGGAAATCAGTAATAACATATCCTGCTTTTGGTGTCTTTTTGAGTGTCTTCATGCACTCCAGGGGCAACAATGCTGCTTTCACCAAAACTGAATAAATGAACCTAACAGCTGCTATTCTCATTTTAATCCTCAAAAATGGGTGCAAGTTCTCCATAGACTGTGCTGTCCCTCAACAGAGGTGAGAATTTCACTCTGAAGTTTGCTGATTTTTTCTTAGGTTATAATCAGGCAATTCCCATGTTGTAACAATAATCTAATTCCTGTGATTTCAATTTACATTATCAAGCACTTATTATGAAAACAGGACATCTAGAATTTCTCCCAATGTTATATTTGAGTGTGTTTGATGGGCATCTCTTTCCCAAAAATGCCCACTTAAGCTTTGAGCTCCCTTCCCAAAGGACGTCTGTAATTCTCTGTGTTCTCTGCTCTTGCCTTAAAGCATGCGATAGTCCAGAGAGATTTCTGCCCATCAATCCTTCAATCAGAATTTTTTCCATACCACAAAGATACAAAAACCTCAAAGAAAGGGCAAATTGCACATCTATGGAACAGTGCAGCTGAAAAATAAAGGAACCACTGAACAGTGTAAAATGCCAAAGGCTTTGCTTCTTTCTTAGGACACATTTTCAGTGAAGCAAAAATGAAGTATTGAAAAGTAGAGTGCCTAAGCCATGGTCTACTTTAAAAAGGAACTTGCTTGGGTTTGGTCTTATAACTGCCTTTCAAAGAAGCCTGGATAGTCCTTCCTTTTTTGGTCCTATCAGTCCTCACCCCTAAAAAACCGACTTACTGTAACAGGCACCATGCAGGATGGCACTTTGTTGAGAAACAAAAGTAGGAGAGAAAGCAATTCTCCTGTTCTCTTGGTAACGTTATCTAACACTATTTCTTGTGCTCTCCCATGACGTGAAGGATTCATCTTCCAAAGTGCTGAGTAAGCATGTCCCAGCAATGCAAGCCGTGGTGAGTGAAGGTGGGTGACTGCTCTTCATCACGGTACCAGTGGACGCTGTAACTCACTGTGGCTCTGTTCTGCACTGGAGACCTGCTGCTGCAGCCATAGCACTCACAGCTCGCCCTCTGCCAGATCAGGGCCAAACGCTTTGGTGACTGACCCAGAAAGCATCACATTTTAAAGCATGACCTAGAAAGGTAACCTTTTCTTCCTCCTGTGGTACAAACCCAACAATCAATCAAGGCATCCAAATTATGCTATTTTAACCAGATGTTGCAAGCTTTTTTTTTTTTTTTGTAAGACTAATAAAAAATGGTCTTCTCTGGTACACAGTGGGGCCAGGCGTGTTTAATAGGCACTGGGATATTAGTGTTCTCTAGAAGGAGTAGCAAAAGATGGTAACTTACATTATAGTATGTACGTTTCAAGGCATCGCTGTATGAGGACATTTAAAATGGAGAAAAATTAGAGAATTCCCACAAAATGAATCTCATAAATGAGGAACTACTGAGAAGATTAAAGTCAAGAGAGTCCAATTAAAAAAAGAAAAGCCAAAAGCTTTCAGATAAAAGAATGGAAGGGATTGAATAGCATAATTCAGGAGAATATAAGCATGAATTTCTTCTGTAAAGGAAATATAATCTATTCTAAGCAAGACACAGGCCAAGGGGTAAAACATCACAGCAACAATTCCTTTAAAGAGCAAGGTGTCCCACTGGATGTGTAGAATAATTTAAGAAGCCCCTCTTCTGAACAGAGTGTTGGTGTATAAAGCTGGGGAACAGCCTATATAGAGATACACAGAGTAAAACCCTGGTGCATA